GAGTTAGTGAGAGAATGAAAAGTGGTGTGAAAGTGAGAATGAGTTTGAATACCTGTGAAATGGCATGTCCTTCCTCTTAAAAAGTAGGAATGGTTTACAACAGAAAACTTGGAGTGAGGCGTGGATCGCGGTCAGCCGTTAGATTGATCTGGACTGTCGGCAGAGCTCCGGTAGGCGGAATCACCTGCTCAAGGAGAAAAGGAGGTCTACCTATTCTGCGCGTTCCGCCACTTTCGCTATACTACTTTGGATCTTTTGTCTTAGGCCTTATAGACAGCCCAAAACAGTTTATAGGTTAAATGTTTTTGTAACGCACCTTGGTGTCCAAGTAGTGCTTTCAATTTTACATTTTTTATTACCATTTTTCTGTTAGTAATATGTGCTTGGTGTGGGTGTTGGTTTATGTATTCTAGAGACGAGTTATTGTACATTGATTTGTTTTTCATGATGCCCTTGTTATCGAAGTTTTAGATTGAGGTTACCTAGTGATGTTTGATACTAGGGAGAATCGTAGTGAATATGTGGCTGATGCAACCTTAATCCTTGTGTCAGTGTGGTTATAGAGACATCAAAAACATAGATGTCCTGTCCTGAATTGTGGTTGCGAACATTGTCTTAAAACTCATTATCTGAAAAACAAGACCCCAATGCACTGGTGAATGTTGAATTATTTATGAAATAAATTGCTTGAATCACTTGAAATATTTATATGCTGAGGTGTTTCTATGATGCTTTCAGTGATGATATTGTCATATGGGCAAGAAAAAGGACCGGTACACCTGTTATTCGAATAGATACGAAGAAAGAATCCGAGGAATTTCTAAAAAAGTATCACACTTTTCTCATTGGCCGGTTTGATAAATTTGAGGTAACTGATTATTTCTTAATGTATTCTAGATCTGTCAAACTTAATCTGCCAAATTGACTCATTTTTAAGAAATACTGAATTTCAAAATTACATTATTTTTGTATTTGGTACTTTCTTTTATAGCATATTTCGTATTAAAAACTCCAGGGCCCTGAATACGACGAATTTGTGATTGCCGCAAAGTCCGATAATGAAACTCAATTTGTTGAAGTGAGTAAGGTGGAGCTTGCCCGAGTTCTTTATCCAGATATAAAGCCTACTGATAACTTTCTTGGGATTGTTAAGAGCGAACCTGAAAGATACACTGCATATGGTGAGTCTGTCTTTGCTCTCACTTGTTTTTCTCCCAACATCGAAACCAAATAGTCACGGGCTTAGTAAGGCAATAGGCAAATCTTTATTGGTTATGTTGCAGATGGAGCTTTCACGTCGGATAAAATAATCGAGTTTTTAGGCTACAACAAATTTCCATTAGTTACAAAAATGACTGAAATGAATTCTGTCAGAGTCTACTCCAGCCCAATCAAGCACCAGGTTGATAATTTAAACTTATTTGATCATTTATGTTTATGCTCAACCTTAATAATAGCTATAGTTAATTATTTGTTATTCTCTAGGTTTTTGTCTTTGCAAACATCGATGACTTCAAGAATCTTCTTGATCCACTTCAAGAAGTAGCAAGAACTTTCAAGTCGAAGGTAGTTTGTTACTTGACCTGCATTTGGATTTGGAGCCTCGAAACCTTCATGCAATTTTCTGGTCTAAACTTTTTCATCAAATGCAGATAATGATTATATATGTTGATATTAACGACGAGGACCTTGCAAAGCCTTTTTTGACGATGTTTGGACTTGAAGATTCAACAAATACTGTGGTAGCTGCATTTGATAAAGGAATGACCTCAAAGTTTTTGTTGGAGTCGAAACCAACACGAAGCAATATTGAAGTATTATCTTCTGTTCATATAAATTTCCCGTTGAATGATCGCTTACTGAATGAAACTAATTAATGTTAACATGGACTTATGCAGGAGTTCTGCAATAATCTTGTGCAAGGTTCTTTGTCAACTTACTTCAAGTCACAGCCGATACCAGATAATGTGAGGACCATTTGACATTTTTCCGCATAGTTTTCCTTTGCACATTGTATGCGGTTCTTTATTAGCCTTTCAATTTAAGAGAATAAATCGATTTATATGTAAAATATTTCTGATTCATTCGTTTGTATATGGTAAATGGTAAATGGTATTTCAACTTGCAGACTGAAGCTAGTGTCCAAGTTGTTGTCGGGAAAACATTTGACGACGAAATTTTGAACAGCGAGAAGGATGTGATTTTAGAGGTTTGTGAAGTTTTATTCTCTTCTATCTATATCTCTTCCGATGAATTAAATGATGCACTTGACCGAAACAATAACACGTGTCCAAATTATGTCATATATCGATTAGCAGACATCGCTATTTCACAGAATTCAATAAGAGCATTTTAGTATGCGGTTGAAAGCCCGTCATATTTCTTATTTGCTTAAGCATCGGTTGATTTTAACTCGCTAGTCGTTACTGTAAAACAGGTATTCACACCTTGGTGTTTCAACTGCGAGGACACAACCAAGCAAGTAGAGAAGTTGGCAAAGCACTACAAAGGATCAAGTAATCTAATATTTTTGAGAATAGATGCTTCAGCAAACGAACATCCAAAACTGCAAGTAAGTGCCGTTAAAAGTTTCGCTGTCTCGGTTTTATTTTATTTAACGATTAACAAAACACCGAATAAAATCCATCACTAATATGATAGAAGTTTATGTTAACTGAAAGTGAGTTTAACTCTTGATATTTCAGGTGAATGATTTTCCGACACTTTTACTTTACAAAGCAAATGATAAGGCAAATCCGGTAATTACCTATTGGCACCGATTTTGGTGATAGGATTTTAATGAATATGATTTCCTCGATTCTATAACGAAACCTTTGTTTTTTTATGCAGATCAAGCTTCCTACAAAAGCTAGTTTGAAAGAATTGGCTGCGTCGATCAACAAACATATAAAAGTCAAGAATCAAGTTGCCAAAGATGAGCTGTAGATTACATGAAAATGTTTTGGGAGAAAAGTAGTTAACTTCTAGAAAAGAAACAATGTGGGAAATATATAAATTAGGATAATCTACTTGAGCATTTTCAAACTTTGTTCAGTGGTGGAAATGTATAACTTAGATTGTTATAAGAGTTAGTTGACTGCAAAATGGCAAAAAGCTTGAGCAGTGATGAACTAGTGCACTGATCAATATTTTTCCATTCAAATCTTATAGAAAACATCCCTATAAAATACATTCATACTTGATTATCTATGTTGTTTTCTTCACATCTCATTACTTGTTTGTTTTATCTACTGTTATAAGAGTGAAACTTCTTTAACATGAGTGTAAATGTGAGACTTGTCATACATGCAAACATATGTCAAATTTGCAACCAAAATGTAAGTAGATGTCTCTATCAAAAAAATAGAACAAACAACTAAAGTTGATGTCGAACTCCACACCACATACATTGGCACTGAGTGTAAAGAAAACCATCAAATCTAAACAGGTGTAATAGTTAATGAATACACGAGATCCATGCTGAAGCTCCAACTCATACAATTGCCCAAAAGGTATATTTCCGTTCTGTATCTCTTTTGTGGAAAGTGCTAAAGAAGATAGGATAAGAATTGTATATCTTGGAAGTACTTAAAATATAAATGAAGGGGTGTTATTGACTAGTATGCAGGGTGGAGAGACGACTGATTTCTTTGTTACAAGAAATTTGCATTAAGGTTCAATTTTAAATTTTTATCTTTTTATTTTAATTTTAAATGTTCTCACGGAAGATATCCGAGAACTAATTTCAAAATGCATGTTTTTTTTTGTTGCAAATGAAATATTTTATTTTGAGAGACAAATGAGGATTTAAATGAAATGTTTGATTCTCGTAGACTCGCTTTAGAAACACATAGTTTTCGTCTGAGAAGAAATAAGATAGAATATATAAAATCTAAGTTCAGCAAGAGGAAAAATATTTCTAACCTAAAGATGAAAGTTGGAGACCATATCATCTCATAGGTCATGCAATTTAAATAGTTGGAGTCCGTATTACAAAATGATAGAGAAATAGAGGGGGATGTAAACTATTGAATTCAAGCGAGACACCTGAAATGGTGAATGGCTTCAGAGTTTTCATATGACACAAGAAATTGCGGTAGGATCTGAGGTGTTGTACAAGACAAAATGTTAGACAGTTAAAAATTAATACGAGAATAAAGTAAGTATAAAAGAAATGATAATGTTGTGTTAAATGTGTAATAAGACTGAATATTTTAAGATTAAAAATAACAATATTAAAAAGTATCGAGATGGCATTTGCAGTAAAAAAAATGATAGAAAATAAACTTTAAGTGACTTTGACATATAAAAAAAATACATGTTGATTATGTGGTAAAAAGAATAGATCAGATGAAAAAGAGTTGTCTAGTTGAAAATAGAGAAAGAAATAAAAAAAACTTATAAAAACATTATTAAAATCTTGAGATTAACAATTCAGATAAATAGATGTATAATTTTGCATAATAATATTCAACTGATTTTTCTTTATGGGATAAGATAAATAAGATTGGATTGTTTTCTCTCCTATGTATCTCCCTCTTTTATAATGAATAGAGGGAGTGAAATTAAGGAAGAGATAGGGTTAAAAGAGCATTAGAGAAAAATGAGAGGATATAAACTATCAGTATCATATCAGGCACGAAATGCAATCATGCGCCAAATGAACATGATACAATTTCAAGTAACATACTTGCCCTCAATTTTTTATAAAGTAAATACTTAAACTCTTGATTAAGAAATGCAATACTTCAGAAAGTTTCAGCATATATTTACTGATGAAAAATAAGATGTCAACATTTGTTACAAATATTATTGCTGAAATACAAGAAGAAAATCTAAGCCACTAGTGAGATCCAAGTAGGACAAGTTGTCCAAGGCTTTTCATTGAGGATGCAGACTATATCACCAATTTGAAGGATGCAGAATATATCACCAATTTGATGGATGCAGTACTTTGGCACCAATCTTGCATGTGAATCTGACTATTCAAAGAACTTTTATCAACATTCACAGCCTGTTGACCTCTGTTGCCGTCCACCGCCACCAACATCAATCGTTTCAGGCATGTATCTGTCATAATCAACACCCAGTGATCAAATCAAATATCCAACGCATTGTTCCATCCTCCTCAAAGAGAATTACTTGAAACTAGCTAGTGCTCAAATTGAAATCGCAACTTATACATTGTTTCATATTAGTAAAATGAGGAACAAAAACAAATCAAAGCCACTATATCTTAAAATAAGATTGTATATTTTTCCTTCTCACCCTTGCCATCAATAATATTCTAAATGCTGCCCATAAAATTCTTAGATGGTCCACAGTTAACAATGTGCGTTAAAAAAACACTAAACTTTACGAGGACTCACATTTCTTCTTCAGGTTCATTCTTGAGAGCGTTTTTGGTTATACACTCAAAAGCAGCTTCAACATTGAATCCCTCCTTTGCAGAGGTCTCAAAGTATGGTATGTTTCCCTTGGAAGCACACCATGCCTTTGCTTTCTTCTCAGAAACCTAAACAGAAGGGATAACAATAAAGGCAGACATGTAATTAACCTCCCATGCACAGGGTACATCGAACCCCTTTCCAGGGGGAGAACATCTATTAATTACAAATGGTTGAATTCTGAAAAATAACTTTTATATATGTTCGGAAGTGATTATTCTATGAGACAATAAATGACTTACAACACGGCCATTTCCACCATCAATATCAACTTTGTTTCCCAACACCACAAATGGGAAATTTTCAGGGTCAGATGGACTGGCCTGAAAATCAAATCAATTAGGTATAATATTAATCACCGTCTTTTAAAAACTGTGTTAAGATCACTCAAAAGTCAGAGATTAAAAATCACCTGAATAAGGAATTCTTCTCGCCAGTGGTTAAGGTTTTCAAAAGATTTCATGACATTTACATCATAAACAAGGACACAGCAATCTGCACCTCGGTAGAAAGCCACGCCAAGACTTTGAAACCTCTCCTGACCAGCAGTATCCCAGATCTACGAGTACAAGGAGAACATCTTTATTTTGGATGATTACAAATAATACATTCTCTTAAATGAATGTGAACCGAGAGCAATCAAAATACAATCTTCCATATTGTATACATATTAAGAAAAAAGATCAATTTAATCAATTTTTTTTGGTGCTTATTGAATCAATGCAGTCGTCCCTACTTAGTGGAATAAGGCTTGATTGATGTTGTTGATGATTATTGAATCAATGCAATGGTCCATAATAAACTAAAGCACTGATTCTTTTACGCATCAAAGAGAAGCGTGCACTTAACCCAACGATGGCATCACATCTCAAGCTCAATGACACGGACAGCATAGAACATGCCAACAAGTACAATATCTAAATCAAAAAACAAGCGTTAGAGTACCAAAATTTTTTTTTTGCTATTTCTCTCTATTGACAATACTTTTCATTTGAAAGGACAAATGGTGGTGTTATACTTCACATAAAAGCACATTCAAATGAGAATGGAAAATAGTGCATATAAACTAAAGTCCACATATTAATTAGAAATATTAGTGCTTTTACAAACAACATGCGTTTATGTTTCTTTTCTGAAACGGCAAATGTTAGTATTATTTTGGGGGTGGAAATCAAACTTCACTTATAAGCACGTGTTCAGTTCATATATTGTTTGTTGTGAGACTCTTAACACACATTTTCATGCCAAGAACTCGACATCTAGAGTGTAAAAATAAATGGTGGGTGGCCCGATAGTGGAAACCTGATTGCATGTGGCCCAATGAAGCTCTGATATCATGTTAAGAAATGTGGTTGAGCCTAACTCAACCCTACAAAACCGGCTTGTAGGGTGAAAATTGCCCCCACTTATGAGCACGTTTTCAGACCATATGCTGTGAAACTCTTAACAAGTTTTAAGAATTTTTCTGAAACTGTGTTGCCTTGTCTATGTGTCATATTAAGGCTATGTTTGGATATCATATAATAAACGGAGAAAAATGGAAAGAAATGGAATGAAATAAAACAGAATAGAGTGGGGCGGAACGAATATTCCAATCCATCATTTGGAAATTTTTTAATGGAACAAGTCAAATTCTTCCGTCCATCCAAATCAGAGGGGAAGAAATACGTTGGTAAGTGATGGAATGGAATGGAATTCATACCACTACATTCCGCTCCGCTCCATCCGATTTTTAATGATCCAAACAATGGAATACCATTCCATTCTATCTCATACCGCTCCATCCGATTTTAAATGATCCAAACAATGTAATACCATTCCATTCTATCTCATACCGCTCCATCCGATTTTAAATGATCCAAACAATGAAATACCACTCCATTCTACCTCATACCGCCCCGCCTCAACCAATTCCATCAATCCAAAAACATGTCATACAAGGTAATACGGAAATACGAAAAATAAAACAACCAACCAAGTCCAAAGCACAATGACAAGAAAGTAAAATCGCACAAATAAACAAAACAGCAGTAAGACAGCACATGCACCAAAAATATTCTGGCATGGAAAAAGAAACATGATATTCCCCTAAACCTTACCTGCAATGTGAACAACCTATCTTCATATTGAACTTCCTTGGTAAGAAAATCAGCTCCAATTGTAGCTTTATACTGATTACTAAACTTCCTATTCACATACCTAGTACATACAGGAAAAGAAGAAAAAAAACAGTAATATTTGATCATTTCAACACAAAGAATATTAATCAAACAATTCATCACATAACAGTATTAAACATAAAAAGAGAATTTGAAGCATACTGATTCATCAGTGAAGTTTTGCCAACCCTGCGAAAAACAAATAAAACACCAATTAGCAAAGAAAACCTAATAGCCAACTCTAACTCACATTGCATCTAACTAATTACCAATAATTGCGATCCATAAAGCTACAAATATTGAATCTAAAATCATAATTTCAAATTTGAACGTAGCAATAACCTAATCCTTTATCGATCATTTTGTTGATGGAAAAAGATTCGCGGAAAAAATAGGGGGAAAGGAAAAGGTTACCCGCTATCGCCGAGGATGATGACTTTTAATAACATGCGACGGCGAGAAGCCATGGATGAAGAATTGGAAGAACTCTCGGAAAGGGGGGAAAATACTGGGAATCTGGATTTGGTTTTTGGGTTGTAGGAGGGAGGGAGTTAGAGACGCAGAGTTGAAGGACAGGTGGATGAAGAGGTAAAGGATAATTACAAAATGATGACTAGTACAATCATTGCAACACAACAATTACAACACGACTAACAATCACACTATACACAACCCTTTTTTAGTTTAGAAAAGGGTAAAACTTTATTTTTAATTTAATTTTTTTAATACAATTTTTAATTTAATTTACATGCATGTAAAAAAAAATTAAAGATACTATGTAAATTGGTGTATAGACAAAACTCCCGCTAGTATTAAATATTATATGAATTATGAAATTAATAAGAAATAATATAATAGAAGTAAGAGAAATAGAAGAAGAGAGTTTATTATTATTTTTATTATGAGTGAGTGATTTAATATGAGTCATATTTATGACATATATAATAAATAGTGTTATGGACTAGATTAGAGGGTACTTCCTGTCGGGCATGGCCGAACCAAGCTTTTTGTTGAAGAAGGTTTAATGAAGAACTAATTCATCACTTTAAACGAGAGCTCTCACGCGTCTTTTCACAATCTCCATGTGCTCTCCGCGCAGAAATACATCATTAGGCAACTACCAGCGTCTGAAAGAACATGTCACTCACCTTTCGAAGATCACAGAGCAGTTGGAGCAGGATGAACCACGTGTTGGTCTTCCTTACGCCACTTAGATCTTGGCAGTTATTCGTATTGGGTCTAATGATCCAATTCAATGCAAAATAGTCGTTGGCCCGGCTCTAGAGGCACATTATAAATACTCTCTTTCACTATAGGGTCAGGGATTCTATTCTCTACACTTTCTGTACTTGCTCTCTCTTTAATCTGATTCTTACTTTGACATCAGAATACCATGCAGGTACACCCCCTCCTTTTCACCACCACCGGCGAACTAGGAATTCACGACCCGTCGGGATGGAGAAATCGCTGAGTCTGACGACCTACGATGGTACGACCGACCCAGACGACTACATTGAGAGCATCGATGCAATGCTCGACTGCCGCAACGTCTAAGGAGCCATAAAATGTCGGCTCTTCTTGACGACCCTGAGAAAGGGCGCGATGGCGCGATACAAGAGCCCCGAGCCCAAATCCATCACTTCTTGGAAAGAGCTAAAGAGATCGTTCTCCAGGCACTTTACCGCCTCTCGACAGCATCTGAAGACGGAGGCATCCCTAGAGGTTATCATTCAGGGGAAGGACGAGTCTCTCTGGGACCATATTGAGAGATTCAATTGAGAAGTCGTCCAGGTGTCCATGATAGACAGCATGAAGATATACCTGATCGAGCGAGGGTTGCGACCCCACAACGATTTCGCCAAGGCGATTGGTATCGAAAGGCCCAACATACTGAACTAACTCCTCAACAAGTCTCGCTCCTACATCCAATATGAGGAGAAGGAAGCTTCCAACAGTGCCCGCGACTCGCGTAACCTGGAAGGTACCAAAGTCTCCAGGAACGAAGAATATCTTGCTCCCCGACGTGGCGGAGACGAAAGAAGAGAATACCGGCCCCGCGACTCCCGAGAACACCGGGGGTCAGCAGGCCATTTCACTGAGTATACAGTACTCACCGTTTCCCGTGAGCGCATCTTGGCTGAGTGCATCAACTCGAAGTTTCAAAGAGGTGGGGTCCGTTTCCGAAGTCGACGCCCACAAACCCAACATCGAAAAATCCAAGTACTGTTGGTTCCACAGGAGTCACAGACAAGTCACAAAAGATTGCATCCATCTCAAGAATACCATCGAAATCTTGATCAACGGAGGGCACCTGAAGCAATACACTAGGAGGAACGAGGCTCCTCGACAAGAGACCCGCGAGGCAAAGAAGGTCGAGGAGGCGACACCATCCTTCGAAGAGGTCGGGCTGCAGGTCGCTCTGTGAGTCTCTCGGTCGGAAGACTTATACCTTCCCTACGAGGTCGACACACCTTTGTCCGCTTGCAGCCCTTGGGAGGACTTCCCAGTCGCGATGGTCATATCTGGAGAGGGTCCCAACAAGCTCTCAGTAGGGTCGGTCAAAAGGAAGTTTGATGAGCTAATCGAAAAGAGATCGAAGCAGAACGCCACCCTCGATAGGTTCAATGGTAACTCAAACCCGATCACCTTCTGCCTCGAGGAGCTACCATATGATGCCTCCAAATCCAGCATTCATCTGCTAATCAGGGACCAAATTGACAACATCAACGTCCGTCACATTCTCGTTGACTAAGGGAGCTCGGTGGGCATAATGTACACTCACTTGTTCACCACCCTCCAGCTCGACGAGAGCCATCTGACTCTGTATGTCGGGTCCGACTTGCAGCACTTCAACGGAACCACCACGAGGTTGTGGAGCTGCTCGTCACTTTCGGATCCGAAGAGACTACAAGGTAGGTCAATGTCATCTTCCTGGTGATAATGTGCCCCTCTCTGTACCAATGCATTATGGGAAGGCCAACCCTGTTTGAGCTGACTACGGTGCCTTCCACCGTGCACCTAAAGATGAAGTACTATGCAGTCAGGGATCGAGTCGTCACCCTCCATGGAGGCATCGAAGCGGCCACTAAAGGGTTCAATCAATCAACATTCTGCCCAAAACCGTCAGCAATCCACTCCGGTCCATGGAGCAGAAGCCGCTGCCCCGCGTCAACTTCGTGGACCTCGACATCCATTTCCCCATCAAGCAGAAGCAGAGCGAAGCATCAGAAGACGAGCCTCCAGTAAATGGTGGCAACGGGCAACCACCTCATCCAGTGCGCCTCATTCTAGATGGAGACTTCGTGCTCATCACTCTTGGTGACGACCCCGAAAGGAGCGTGAAGATCGGCCCAGGGCTCCCCGACCTGGCGAGAAAGCAGCTGAAGGCCTGCCTTAGAGAGAATGTTGACCTGTTCACGTGGAGCGCTGTAGAAATATCTGGGCTTAACCCCGACGTGGCATGCCACCATCTCACCATAGATCCGGCCGCTAGGGTCATAGTATAACGTAGGCGTAGACAGTCTCCCGAGAAAGCGAAAGTTGCTGAAAAAGCTATAAAAGACCTCTTAGAGACAAATTGTCGCTACCGCGAAAATAAGGTGTCGGCAAAACAGAAGAGTCGCCATCTTTCGTTATTTATCCCTCAGAACAGGAAAGGAAACGATCGGAAAAACCTGACGAGAAGGTATAAGACAAGGTCATCGCAACCAATGTCTGGATTCGGGAGTCGGTTACGCAAGGGGAAGGTATTAGCACCCCTCACGTCTGTCGTACTCGACGGGATCCACGCTTAATTGTGTTTATCTGACAGGTTGATTTATCTATCTACGCTAAAAGGTTGGTCTGAAAAGAAAAGAAAATGACTCGGTAGAACACAACAGTTCTATGCCTACGTATTCCCGTCTGAAACGAGAAATCAGAGTCAACGTAGTTCGCCTAACTACGGGTAAAAAGGGGGGAAGGTTGCTCGCCAAGATACCGCATCTTGTGCCTACATACTCTCAACAGGATTGAGAGATCAGAGCAAACGTAGTTCAGGATAAAAAGGGGAACACAGGTTTGTTCAACTGTTTTTTATCTGAGTAGGGTTAACAAACAGTTCCAGCAGTTGGTGTATGCAGCTTGACCATTGGAGACTTAGGCGTTACCGTTTGCGGTAGAACTAAGAGTTAACAATACTCTTTTCTTCAAAAAAGTTTTCCTCTGAATCATGGGCCCACGGGGCAAAAAGGTTTGAATTTTGTTTTCTGTTTTTTACGGAAGAAGTGTTTTTTATGGTTGTCTGCAACTAATATCGCACTAGAGACTATGACCTAGGAGTGAATGTGTCGCATGTCACCCTAAGGGTGCCAGGCTAAACATCCTGACTGTTGAAGAGTGACCCTTCAACAATCATTTGTTAAGTAACTTAAGGCTCGTAATGTATGACATCAGTTAACCTTTATTACGGTATTTTGATTTGTTTGAAGATGAGAAGAGAAAGGACGCACTAGAGGGGAACTGATCCAATCCTAAAGTTGTCATACAAAATTGAACCTATGGTTGAGGTTAGGAGGGAAACTAACTAATGTTATCATGCATGGTTAGAACTCTAATGTCTGTCATAACTTCTCTTGAACAAGAGAAGTCAAAGTTCCTAGGGGATCATGGAAAAGGAAAACAACAGTAAAGCAAATCAACTGAAATGAAAATTACTGTAAACAAAATGTTGTAAGTAAAATGCATGCAATGCATCAAACAAGCAGAAGGAGCCAAGCTCAACTTCTAAAGCAAACAAGGCACAAAGGCCACACACCACACAGGCAAGGGAGAAGCTCAACCTTAAACCAACAAGCAAAGCCATACAGTAAAAAGCAAGCAGAGGGAAACAGTCAACCTCTAATGAAGACAAGCAAGGGGAGAAGCTCAACCCTTAGGATTCTCTTAGACCTATGATCATCTACATGAAGCCTATTTCTAATGCAACACTCCAAGCAATTCACATCAATACAGTAAAGCAAGCAAGAAAAACAGACAATCAAGACAGCAAGTCAACAGCTTCACAACAAAGCACCTCTCTGACAGCAATCCAGTCTACAGTCTGTAAATCAATCTTCAAGCTCAAGTCATCTTCAAGAGAAGGAAATGAATGCTCCATCTTCAAGCTCTATCAAGCTACTCTAAAAAGAATGAAGAGATTTGATAAGATGAGAATATGATGATGGGGAGCATGATGGAAACCAAAGGAATCCATCATGACACTCAACCATGCATCTAGGAAGGGCATCCTCAAAAGTTATACTCATTATGACATGCCATACATCCCTCCAAAGGAGATATGAGACTTTCACATGAGGACTTTGAATCATGGGATGGAATGGAAAGCAAACAAAGTTATCCATGTTTATTTGGAGAAAGAAAGAAAACTAAAGCTCTTCCTAAACCCTAATATGAACAAGCTACAAGAAAGCTATCAAAGGGGGGGGGG